CCCCCAACTGGATAGCTTTGTGTCAAATCTGAACTGGAATTACGAGTAGGCTCCCACAGAGGCTGGTGCCATTCATTCTTACATCTAAGAAAAACATCCAGGGACCTGAATATGAGGGCCCCCCAACTTCGCCCTTTTCTCCAAGAGCGGAGGAACACACTCAAACACTCTGGAGGAAAAGTCCCTGTCTCTGCCATCCCAGCAACTGGGGATGGTAAGGACTCCCGAGCTCCACTAATAATGTTGGGGGGGGGGGGGATTATTCAACTTGAAGATCAAGTAGGGATGGACAAGATCCTATTTAGCTTTACTCATGATAGTCCATGAGTAGCGGTCCATAATAATAAGGTAATACCATCTGGTAGGTGCCTAGATGGTCTTATGGAACATCCCATTTTTACAGAGCCTGTTGCAACCTGTAGTAATTACAGTGAATGTGGTTGATAGTGTGGAATTCAAAAGAAAGCATACCTGCCTGAGCAACTCTCGTCACAGAGTGGGATCCAGTGAAAAATAAAGGGACTCTGGAAATAAAGTGTGTGTGATTGAGGAAAATACATCTGGTTAAAATCTAACATATGTGGTCCAAATAGCTATAGCGCATAGTCCAAACCATCAGAAGTGAAAACTGCGAGATCATGTAAGTAATAATAGGAAAGTATTAGGAGTAGTCATATGCCAGTTCGGACAATGTCTTCCAGAGGGCAATTCCATCAGGGGGCTAATGACATATAGATATGATGAATCTGGTGAGATGTGACATGCAAAAGATTCCTCTCCTATAATGATAATCCATTATAGGCCATGTGAATCAATTTACAAAACCATCTCGTTAGGGTAATAGGAGATAAATGATGGGAAATAGAAGAATTACAATGAATGAACAATCGATTCCTGCTTCCTCATAATGAGTTAGTAGGAGCCACATAACACTTGAGGGCCATAACAGGACATAACAAACGATCCAGATCGGAGAGGTCATAAAAGTAAGGAATGGCTGGCAAATGGATTGGTGAAAAGGATCTTTCCCCTTCCCTGGCTGCTAGAGTCTTGAGAAGACCTATCATGGTAAAGAAGGACAACTGTGGAATGATAAAGAATCCAATGCAATGGATTGCAAACAACTTCGACCAATAACGTCCACAAGCCAACAACAACAATAAATACAATTTAAGGGAAAGGTGAGACAAAGAACACGAAGCTAAGGGCTCAAAGAGAGGATGAGACAATGCATGTAAAACAACTGTAAAATCTCAATTCGTTAATTGAAAAGGTCGTTTGGGTGAAGAATATGAAAGGATTTGAATAGACCTGATAGTACTGAGGATTCAAAAATCTTCCAATATTCGGAATACTGAAAAATAGTGGATAAAAATGCCTTATATAGGGCCACCATAGATGAAGTAAGACCCCTCTCAAACTGGATGTGATAGATACTTTACGATGAAGAGAGTTTAAATTTCTTTTAATACACCACTGATGAAAAGTATTCCATTTCAATTGACAAATGGCCATTGTTGGCCTATGGAGAGATTTAGTTAAATACAAAGAAATCTTAGAATTTCAACCCTTTTGCTGGGCAAAGGAATGCATAACTTCCAAGCATGAAGATTGACTTTCCAAACATCTGGGTGGAGAATGTCTGATCGAGGTTGTCTCAAAAGAGACTGCCAATGTGGAAGAGGTAGACATGGACATTCCTGCAGATACTGAAGAAGTGGAAATAATGTTTGAGCTAGCCAATATGGTGCAACCAAGAGAACTTGACAGGGAGTGGAATGAACCATAGTCAGAATCTGGGGAAATAGCATAATTGGGGGAAAGCCATACAGATGTTAACCTGACCAGTCCTGACAGAATGCATCTACTGCCAATGCTTGAGGATGAGGTATCAGAGACCTTCCAATCCTGGATGAAGGCATCCACAGCAAAAACAAAAGGATGTGGAACTGGGGATCAAAAGAGAGAAAGTTTGACAATCAAATGAGTAGCAACTGCATACAGCTGGAAAGTTTCAAACTAAGACCATTGTAATAGCTGGGGTCAAGACACCACTCTGTGGGTAGAATCTTGTCAGGACAGAACAGACAAACTGCAACAAGACTGAGGGCATCTGGTATGTGAGAAGCCAGCAAACAAATTCATTGGTTGTGAGCCCAGAAGAGGAGCTGTAGAGTGCAGGAACATATGGACTGGGATCATGTGCTCCCTTGTCAGGTGATATGAGAGACAACTGTCGAGTTGTCGAAATGAATCATACCTGTTATGCCCCACAGAGATGACAGAAATTGAACCATCACCAAACAATCAGCAAGGAGTTTAAAAAGGTTGATGTGAAGACCCAACTCCTCGTGAGACTAACAGCCCAAGATCTCCTGTGTACTTCAGCATGAATCCCACCTTGAGAACGAGGCATGTGTAAGGTCGTCGATATCCAGATGGGGAGGAGGAATACATATCCCCAATGTCATATTGTCCCTGTCTAACCACCACAGGAAGTTGGGCTGAAGAACAAGAGATTGGGTGGGGTAGATAATGGACTTCTCCACTTTGATAATCCAACACACATGAGCAGCTTCTCTGATGAGAAGTTGGGTGTATGTGGAAGACTCTGCAAAGGATGGAGCCAGAAGAAGCCAGTCGTCTTCATCAAGATGGAAATTGAGCCCACAAAACTGTAGGAATCAGGCAAATGAACGGACCACCAAACAGAAACTTTAAGGTGCCAATGCCAGCCCAAAAAGAACAGCTTGGAATTGGTAAACATGATCCTCATGATCAAAACGTAGATAATGACAGGAAGCCTAAACAATATGGATTTGAAGATAAGCATTAGACACATAAAATCTTGTCATGAAAAGCTCTCGAGGAAAGGCCCATCTGAAAACAGGTATGATTCCATGGTTAACTAAGGCATGTCAATAAAACAATTCAGGTAAGAGAAATTGAAAACAGGATGCCAATACCCAATCTTCTTGGGGACAACAAAAAGTCAGGAATAGAATCCTGAAAGCACAAAACAAATCTGTTTGATGGTGCCCTTGATTAGAATGTCTTTAACCACTTCTGTGAGATGCTGGCAGAAAAAAGGATCTTGAGGGGGAAGGAACTGGGACAGGAGATAAGGCAGGAGGTTTAAGGAAAAGGAGGGAGAGTCTTTCTGACAAAACTCAAATGATTTAAGAGTTTGCTGACCAATAACATGCAAGTGTATGTTCCTCTGCAGTACATTGGGGCATGGCATATTAACCCCTGCATGTAACTGATCTGCAAAACATTCGGCATGGACCCCAATATCAGGCAAAGTGGGGAAAATCAAAAACTCAGAACTGGGTGCTGAAGTTAATAAGGAAGGGAGTGATCAAATGACATAGGTGACAAAGAAAAACACAACATATCTTTGATATCAAGTCAAAAAATGGTGACTCGGGTAATGGCAGAATTGCTTGTAGATCAGATCTCTTGGCCCACATGTCACAAGCCATCTCCCAACAAACTATGGCTGACACTTCCTCTGCTGATAATGCCACATCTGCAGCCAATGTCATGGGCTGCTGAATGCTGGTACCATCAGTAGGCATTGTAATCGTATTATTAAACTGTGAATTCATAAATATTAACTGACTACCAGTAATAAAGTGAGAAAGAGAATTCACGATCAAATAAAGAAATCCAACTTTATTTTCAAAATGCTCTAAGGAAGAAAAAAAAGTTTTTAAGCACTAGGTCTTAACACCGTCGTACAAAATCAAGAAGTGAAGATTGGATTCAACTGTGTAGAGGGAGTCAACTGCAATAGGAAAGTTTGTTGCACTCCTATTGGTGGAGGACTGTCGTATGCTAATTTGCATGCTTAAATGCAGCTAAGCTATGTGGTATACACATGTAATTAGGTGGGAATTTCAAGGCTAGTGGTGAGCAATCCCTTTTGCACTAGACGGCAGTCAAATCGAGAATAACTGGAACTGTGAGAAGAGGTAAGTAACTGTATCGGAAACATAAACTTTATTTTTCGTATATTTACATTCAACATAATGAGACTAGTTTTCAAAAGGCCTATACTGGATTGTAGGCTGAGTTTTTAAGTTATATTCCTAAATTATTCAAGTATAACTTGATTTAAATTTTAACATCCTTTTGCCTCACCAGAAAGTCATCCTTTTTTTTACACAAATATTATGCATGTGTTACAGAAAAATTATTATCCCCTAGACTTCATTAACATTAACTTTCATAAGAAATTCTATAACCTTTTGAGAAAAAAAAAGGAACATCCTACTACTGTCCCCACAGTTGAAACACACACACACACACACACAGTCACTTTGGTTCTTCCATACCTAAGTGAATAATCTCTAATTTTAAGAGATTTTAAAAACAAACCTGTTAAACCTCTAAGTACAAATTATACTTAGATATGTTCCAATATCCAACAAAGAGTTAGCAAACATCAGCATTCTCTTCCTATAACAGCCCAAGAATGTGAAATGGTCTACAACCTGAAATGCTACTAAGCAATTTGCTTATTGCAAATAGATCAGTTCTAAAAGAAGTGCACAAAATGCTTTGAAGTTCAGTCTTAAACTAAGTTTGATATATGGTCTCCAAACAGTAATAAAATGGAATGATCATTAAAAAAGGGTTATATTACAGAACATTATTTCTACTTTATTTTAATATGAATATACTGTTCATACAATAATTAATAAATTTAGGTTTAAAATGTTCATGTACTTCTTTCACTAACAGAATAAGGAAGTATTAAATTACCCTCATGAAAATCAACCGTGTAAAACAGCTACAGTATGCATACGTGGTATACACCAAATCTAGTTATGTCTCTAAACTATCTATAATTTTTCATAAACATCTTATTAGGAAATGGTAAAATTATCTTGTAGTATATATATATATATATATATATATATATATAAATGTGGATTAATATAAAAATACAAAAAACATAAGTGTGAAGTACTTCACACACAAAAAAAGCTTACTTAAGTAAGAAGTCAGTCACTCTTTCATCTGGATACCAAGAAGGAAGTCCAACTTTAATTCGGAACCTTTCACCAATATACTTTTTTATCTGGATGTGAGAATAAAGTCCCTCATTTTGGACGAGTCTAAGCATATTGGCTACACAGCTGCAATTAAAGACAGAAAAATAATATAAAAAGGTAATGAAACCTATCCTTGTGTTCTTGAACAACTTCTTGAATTTTAAAATTTGCAAACACAACATTTGTTGAAAGCCTACATATAAAATTTATAAAGGATAACAAATGATATAAATACATCAAGTAAAAATTAGAACAAACATGTTTTAAATGGTCAAATGAAAGCAATTTTTCAAGCTATAAAACATTATATTAAAAAGCATTATATATTATTGGGCACAAATAAATGGTAGATTTACTTCTAAATTATATTAGTTTCAGGGTTTCATTCCTTCTTGGGCAGAGTTTCTTCATTCTTTGGTTGAGACCTAAAATTGGGTTGTCAGAATGTATGAAAGGGTCATGGAAAGACTTTGAAGATACATAAAACTATAATATAACATAATGTTTTGGGACAACAAGGGACCTATTGGTCCATCCTAGCTGTCCCATCCTTTAAACTAAGCTAAAACTATTAAATAAATAAATTAAAAATTACAATCCTAAACACTTCAATCAGTTCCCCCCTAACTCTTCTTTTTTCAAGAG